AAAAAAAAACAAAAAAAAACCATTCAAACCATACAATTAAAATGGGTGAATTCTATGGCATAAAAATTATATGTCATTAAAGATGTTAAAAAAGAAAGGCAGGGGGATACCTGCCCTCCTTAAATATTAGGGAAACTGGGCGGAAAACAAAATGGCTCCATGAAACATTTTAAAGGCATGCTAGTACTTTCTTATAAATATTTCTTCCTTATGTTGGTTATAAGTCAATTCCACAGTCATTTATTGACCCCCTCCTATGGGCCAGGTCCTGAGGTAGATGAAGGGAAGAGATTGGGAGGTAGAAAGTAACACAGAGGCATAGGAAGAGGCAGATGATAGCCAAGTGTTTCAGAGGAGGTAACTGGAAGTGTCCTCTTTCTTCCACCAAGTTCCTTCATATCAGGGTGCCTTCTGCTTTGAGTGATAAATACCTATGCAGCCACAAAGTAGTGGTAACCAACAGAGTTTTATGGAGTCTGGTAATGAGCTATCCAGACAGGCCCCCTGAAGTTGGCTAATTCGACAGACATCTCAACAGTGTCAAGACTCAGACCCCCCTCCTCTGTGATTTTCTTGGCTTTCCTCTCATGGTTGAAATATGACTGCAATAGTGCCAAACGTTGTGCTGTCTTCCAACAAGGCTGTCAGTGTTAAAAGCCAAAAGGCAGAGGCAACTATTTTCCTCTCCACTCTTTTTTTTTTTTTTTAATCAGGGAGCAAAATCTAACAGCCTCCCACCTCCCAGTAGAACTCCTCTAGCATCTCATTGGCTAGAAGTAGATCACATGCTCATCCCTAAACGAATCACTGACAAAGGGGAACGAGAGCAACATTTGCCTAGACGTAGCTTACTCATCCCTAAGGCTGTGGGTGGTTCCCCATTTCCTAATGTAATACCTGAAGGCAGCAAGATTATATGAACTGGGAAGGGGATGGGGAATGGGAACTGTGAACCAATGTCTACCACACAGTTAATTAACTTTTTTTTGATGGAAAAGAATAGAAACAATGCTTGTTCTTTTTTCTTTGTTGACCATGAGTGTCTTATCTTTTTTGTAAAATATTTCCATGATTTCGATCTAATGAATTATTCTTCAAGCTGGGACTCTGCAGGCAGTTCTAAAGTAGTGCTGTATTTGTTTCAGTGTTGTAAGTTTTGAGGTTGGATAGTCATATTTCACTAGCACAGTCAGTAGGAAAATTGGCAAAGAGCTATCATTATCTAATTTAAAGATGCTTAACTTTTTCCCTCTTTTTAGAATATTTGGCCAATGCAGAATTTGGGAGGTTTGCTATTACTAATTAAAGAAAGATGGAATGTTGGTAACTATGTGGACCTAGGAATCTTTAGGCAGAGTAGTATTGATGGGATCTAGAACGAGTGCCCCTCAGCACGGCTTAATGAACAAGACACATCGGGGGCCCAGAGTAACGAAGACAGATGGTTTCCAATGCTAGAACAGGGGATGTAACTGATATATTCTGTCCATTGGACAGAAAGCAAAAACATTTGCACAGAAAGTGAGTCCCTCTCTCCCTCTTTCCCTCCCTCCCTCCCTCTCTCTGCTCTGTTCTCCTGTCATGTCAGAAACAACCCTAGACCACGGTGTGTCCGTATTACAGATTTTTTCTTGCCTTTATTTCATACATCACTCTCTTTGATTGATATGACATTAACCATAATAAAACCCCCACATTTCAGTCATATAAATCGTACTAGGGACAATATAATTGATATTTGTGTATATAGCTTTAGGTTATGATCTGTCTGCACGAACTGGCCTGATCCTTAGAAAATATCTAAGGTCATTCAAAGCCATTAGGATTGTTGACTTTGCTGCAGAATAATAAATGCCTGTCCCAGTAGATAGTAATTCTCTTGAATTTTTCTTTCTACCTTCTGTCCTAAGTCATTGAACCCAGCTTTCCAAGTCTTAATTTCCTGGCTACCTGACAAATGTTTTTGCTCTCTTCTAAGCTGGTGCTTTTGTGTAAATAGAGATAATTTAACATCAGATAGACTTTCTCTTTTTCTAAGTTTATTTATTTATTTATTTATGTGATCTGTGCATCCACTGTGGGGCTCGAATCAAGAGCCACACACTCTTCTGACTGAGCCAGCCAGATGCCCCTAACATCGGATGGACTTTCAAAAGTATATAATTGAGGACATATTTGAACTGATTTTTGGTGGCCTTCGTGTTTTTCTCTCTTTCGTGAGGGCTGGTACATATCCTTGCTGATGAACAGCCACACCTAAATAGGCAGGTTCCCACAGAGACTCCATGGGACATATTTGAACAAGTTTGCCCCCCCCATCACCGACATACACATACCTATAAGGAACATTTAATCGGTATTCGTTGGCTATTTGTGATTGACACCTATTCACGTACAAATATATTTCTCTGGGGATATATCATAATGCAGTCTTTTTTATTGTTTGGAGTACTGTGTCTGCTTCGTAACATACACAGATACCCTGTTTCCGACTTAGTGATGTGTGGACAAAGGCTCTTAGGGCGGAATTTAAGCTTTTTGTCTTTTAGATTACGTCTGCTTATGCATGCACCCGAAGAGTATATAAAATGGTATATAAACTAAAGAGTATATAAGATAGATACCTGAGAACGAAGAAACTTCTGCTTTTCTGCCTGAGAGACACAAAACAGTCAGTGCCTTTTTGTGACATCACATGATTTGTGAGGGGGGCAAATGAAGAGAATAAATAATCGTGAGCCCCAAATGAGCAATCTTAGGCAGTTTCCTGAGGGTGACCCTTTCTTTATGCAGTGGTTATATCCTGTCTGTTAAGTGTGCTTTTCTCTGAAGTTACTGTGAGAGAGGGCATCTTTTCCTGGACCAGCTCATTAGATAAAGCATTTTAAAGATTGTGTTTTTTTTCTTCTTACAGCCAAGGATTACTGCAAAGTAATATTTCCATATGAGGCCCAGAATGACGATGAATTGACAATCAAAGAAGGAGATATAGTCACTCTCATCAATAAGGTAAACAAAGGTTCCCTCCTGCCTTTCAAACTGTGAACCGCTTTGAGGTGTTGACTGGACGGTACAAGATGTTGGTTTAGCCCTTGAAACACTTGATTTTCCTTTTGTCCTCTCCTGAGGGAGAATCTTGCCTTTTTCCTCTTGATCAGGCTACGCCCAATATATCCAGGTGAATGAATGAACTTGAAAATCCAATAGATTCTGTTTGTCTTGGAGCCAGCTGCAGTTTTGCATGGCCCTGCAGAAAACTCCATCCCAGAAGGCGTAACCCAGAAGGCGGCCTGCTTGGCTGGAGAGCCCGCCCTCCACAGCAGCCCCAGCTGCAAAGCTGTGTCATGCCTCTCAGGCAGAAAACGCTTAGAGAATGTTTGCTGTTCACATCAAAGACAGGTAGCATGCCTGAGAGAATTTTGCTTGTCTTGTTTGGGCTAAGAAGGTTGTATGATTTCATTACCATTACAGGCAGAGCCCTGTAAACATACAGAGACCTGTAAAATCTGTGTGAATTGATGCAGCTTAACAGGGCCTGAACCGTGTACTATTTATGCTCTCATGCAATGGTACTCACCCAGTAGGTTGTTGAAAGATGTATTATTTAAATGATTCCTAGAATATACAGCCTTTTGTCTGAGATAATAGGGTTCTCATGATGGTTGAGTGCAGCGAAAAGCTGAGCCATGTTTCAGATGTGTTGGGTGCTTCACTCTTGGTTCCGGGTGAGCGGCAGGGAATGTGTGGTGCTGTTGGTACAAGCATGACTTGGGGGTCCTAATGGCTGCCTGCGCTCATGCAGGGCTAGAATGCTATTGGCAGGGTGCAGAGTGCAGGGAAAGGTGAGAGAGAGCAGGGGTTAGGGTGGGGGAGCTAGGCCCTGGGTCTTGCTCCTGTGGCCGTTACTGAGAGGGAGGGGCTCCCAGTGTCGCCGGCCCACCCCCCGCCGCCCCCATGTGTGTCCATAAAGTGATGGGTACGATTTGCCTTTTATCGTCCAGGACGGTTACCTTTAAGAAATGGCTGTAGAAGTTGTGTGTTTTAAGAGCCGGAACCAAAGATACCAGGGCACTAATGACCCCAGAGGCTAAGCAGCTCACCAAAGATCAAAGTATTGTAGGGAGAGAGCTGGCCTCTTCCATACGACAGTGGAATGGAAGACACTGCTAAGACTGCTTTTCTGGAATAGTAGACGATCCCCAGCTCTACTGATGGGCCAGGAATGTGCTCATTGCTTTATCTGTAAACTGTTCTCCCTGCATTTGTTTTAGCGTGTCTCTGTAAGTGTTTTACATGGCAGGAGGGTAAAACAGTGCCCTTCTTGCTCTTTCTGCCAAGGAGGCGGAAGCGGTTCTCTTTCCTTACCACCCTTCCCCTCGTCCTTAAGTGGTGCCTCCTTCGGCCTGTGTCTGCATGGTGCGTTTCCTATTTTGAACAATACCCTTAATCAAATACTTGGAATAAAGAAGTTGTTAAATGGATGTAAAGCACAATACAGATACTTCGCTAATTAGCACAGATCCTTGGTTTTCATCCTACAGGGAAAGGGATAGATTACTTTCCCCTGTGACTATAAAGCAAACGGAGAGTCAAATAACCCATTCTTTGCAAAGCAGGGGTGCATGTTACTGTTTTTTTCTTTTTCTTTGGAGGGGGAAGCCTCTTTTTAACTGAGAACCAGATGTATCAATAATATTTAATAAGGTTTGGAGAAAAGGAAAAAACTACCATGGATGGTCTCTTATCTGAATACATCTGTTTCTACCTCAATATATTATATTCCCGTCCTTGTCATTTGATTACATATGATGAGAACACATTCATCTTGATGGTTTTGTTCCTACCAGCTCGAGATCCAGTGTGATAAGAAGAATTGAATTTTTCTAAAGAGCTTAGTCAGAGAGGGACCCTCTCCTGGTTCCGTCCTCCATCCGCACGGCAGGGAGAAGGGCATGGGCGGATGTGGAAGGCTGCTGTCGGGAGTGTCCGGGAGCTGTACCGCACTTCCTCACTTTCCTATCCTCATGCCTGTAGAAGCAGTTTAGAGACTGAAGCAGCTTATAGATGCTTGTAAAACGTGACCTTGTTATCCTTGCCATACACTCGGTCCCTTGACCTGGCTTATACCCTGCTCCTGCTCCTCAGGCCCAGGGTGCTGTGTCATTCTGACACTTCCTCCCCCTCGCTCGGCCCTGCCCCCACTCTCGAGCCCAGCAGCACCGGAGCCCGGGGATTCTGCCTTCCTGTGTTCCTGCCACTTCCTGTCCGTGGGGCAGCCAGGCCCACGCTGGAGTCCACACCTCTCCGGGCCGGCTGAGCAGAGAGCCTCATCTCCTCCCTCTCCCAGCACCCTCCACAGCACCTGCTCTGGAGGAGAACCCTGGGGTGGCCACCCCAGGCCCCTCTATTTATCATCCTGTAATGGTGCTTTGCTCATGTGACCCCTTTGCTCCAATGAAAGTCTTTAGCAACTTTCTTCACCTTCGTTGTCAAATCCAGCTTGATTCTCCTTGCACTCATTTGCCCAGGCGCTCTGGTCTTAATCTGGCTTTTTGGCCTTGGGCCACATCACCGTTCTACAACAAGCTCTCCTGAGATGGCCCTGCCTTACTCATGTACCCTCCCTAACCTGACCCAGACCATGTTCCTGCCCCCCGGGATGCCCTCTGCTTACCCACTTAGCTGCTTTTTCAATAGCTAATAATATAGCCAGTCTTAACTCATGCTGTGTCATGTACCTACCTGGGCCCATTTTTCACTTGTAACTTAAAAATGTCCCCTGTGTATTATCAATTTTGTTTTTATTATTTTTTCAAATTACTTTTTTTAATGTCTACTTATTTATTTTTGAGAGAGAGGGAGAGAGAGAAAAAGAGGGAGGGAAGCAGGGAGGGGGCACAAGCAGCGGAGGGGCAGAGAGAGAGGGAGACATAGATTCTGAAGCAGGCACCAGGCTCCAAGCTGTCAGCACAGAGCCCGATGTGGGGCTCGAACCCAAACCGTGAGATCATTTATGACCTGAGCCGAAGTTGGACACTTAACCAACTGAACCACCCAGGTGCCCCCTGCTTTTATTATTGTTTTTTATGGTCCGCGAAATCAGGTCTCTTGATATCCTGTCCTTGTGCAGATTTTGACTTTTATTCCCATGAAGTATCTGCCAGCCTTGACCTAGCGTTCCAGTTGTTTGGAAGTATGTTAAAATGACAAGTGCCATGTAGATTACCAGCTCTGAGAAACCAGGGTTTGAATTCCAGCAATGCCATTCACGGCTGTATGTCTTTGGGCGTGTCACTTAATCCCTCTGAGCCTCAGTTTCCTCAGCCAGAAAACGGACCTCACAGGGCTGCCGCGAGGATTTGCTAAGATGCTGTGTATACATGATTTGTTGCTTCACCTTTGGTTGCTCTTTCTCTGACCTCGGACGTGGGGAAGAAGGGCTCTCGTGATTGGGCCCAGTTTGCTGCTGGAAGAGGAACACCTTGATATGAGGTGGGTAGCAGTGGTGGAAAATCTGCCCGAAAATAGCTCAGAATTCACAATGGGTGAGATTTCAGCAAGAATTTTGAGAAAAAAATACGTCCTAAGTATTTTGCTTTCTGAAAAGTGGGGAAAATGGATTCCGTGTCTGTCAAACCCTGCTGACATTACAGAAAACTCTTAATTTTCCTCTGAGTTAAAGGATCACCTAGAAATTTGTTTAGATGAGTATGTGCCATGGACATTATAAAGAGAAGAGCTTCACTATGATTTGTTTAATGTGTATTTTGATATGCTTCCTTATTGTATGTATGAGTTGAGAGGAAAGACCTGAATTGCTGTTCTCTAAATTCAACTGCTTTTGCTGTTAGAGGTTCTCAGTGTACCCCAAATTCCACCGGTGTTTTTCTTTGAGTGTCGGCTAAGGTGGTTTCCTTTTGCCCTGCTTTTCTGTGCTGTGGCAGGAGTCACAGGGCGGGCGTTGCCCTCATTTTTAGCCCTCGATTGTCATTTTGTGTAGCTTTCTAGAAAATGAGTCAGACACCCTTAGTGGGTGCCTGTGAGCCCTCCATGATTCCTGAAATAATATGCAAAGACCTGAACTATTTGTGTGTGTCCCTGGAAACTAGGATGAAATGTGGCAACCCAAATGGTTTGTTTTTTAGTTTATTTATAAAGAATTCTTACGGATTTAGGAACATTTCCACTTGCACAGAACACACCTGTGTTTAGCTTTTATTTCCAGTCACTCAAAAATAGCTCCTTCATCTGTGTTCCTGCCGCCCCCATCCCTGCCTTCGTGATTTGTGCTCAGAGCATGGTTGAAAGGGTTCAGAAGCCTCTGGGTCTGGTTTCCAACCAGGGAGCTCCTTGGAGAAAGGCCGACAGCAGCCTGGTACAGGCGAGGCCAGGCTTCAGCAGTGATGGTGGCCGCCATCAAAATGGCGCTCCTCGCCCTGGCCGCTGTCACATGGGGGAGAGGGAGCCCGATTGTGGAGAGGGCCGATGTTCCCGCCCTTGGCCTTCCTTGCCCACTGTCTCCTGGCTTCGGCCCCCCTAACTTGGAAGGAAGGGCTTCCCATGTGACCCCTTTGTAAATAAGGAACTCTATGTATTTCTTATTAAAAAGCTCCCCTGAGTGACCATGTCTTTGACCCCCTAATAAAGCAGACACAACCGCCTCCCCACCACCGCCATTTCTTCATAGGCATAAGCCTATTTGATAACGTGAAGGTGAACATTAAGGAAGATAATATTACTGATAAAAATCATGTGGCAATGGAGATGGAGGGAAGGGGAGAAGCAATGTAAACCAGTATTGACATACGGGAAAAGAAACTGATAGATGCACCCTAAAGAAAGAGAGAAGCCAAAAGATTAGATAAAGGTAGAAATATACAGTAGCTACTACAGAAAAAATACAGGGGGAGTTTCACCTTCTCCTCAGAGTATGTCAGACCAGGGACCCTTCAATATTTGGAACTTGACCTGCTGTGAAGGCGGAGTTAGGACTGAATACTAACTAACCC